TTTAAATTATTGTTCAATCTATTTATTTTCACCTTCGCCTAATTGTGAAGTTTGAAGATTATAGTAATACTTTTTGTTATATTCTTGAGTGTGGAACGTCATTTTAACAATGTTTTGGGCCTCCCTACTATATTTTTCAGTTATTTTTTTAGTTTTCAACTTAAATAGTCTATTAAATATACATTTGTTGCTTAATAAATCGTAAACTTGCTTCCAAATAAATAAATGAAATAGAAAAGGATACGATCAGTACTTTGTTACCGATTGTTCACGTGAGCTGTCGCTATCTTTTTAGCAACGGTTCCTATGAAGAATCGCTATCTTCATACCGAACCCCTCTTTTCAAAATTTTTTTTTTTTTGCTTGTGTTTGTTTTAGTTCTCTTACCATAACAACAAACTATCAAACTCCTATTCTTCAAAATATATTTTTTCATGCAAAATCTATTATCGTACATATTTAAACACTTGTAATCAACGATTTAAAACCTAAATTTAAAGATATTTGAATTTAATTGTGATTACTCAGATAAAGTAATGTACGAAGAAAAAACTCAAAGGAATAAACAAAAAAGCAAAAAATAAATAAATAAAAAAATGAACAGGGAAAGATCGGTACCACGCTACCGATCCTTGCCCAGTCGTATTTAAATTATTGTTCAATCTATTTATTTTCACCTTCGCCTAATCGTGAAGTTTGAAGATTATAGTAATACTTTTTGTTATATTCTTGAGTGTGGAACGTCATTTTAACAATGTTTTGGGTCTCCCTACTATATTTTTTACTTATTTTTTTAGTTTTCGACTTAAATAATCTATTAAATATACATTTGTTGCTCAATAAATCGTAAATTTGCTTCCAAATAAATAAATGAAATAGAAAATGATACGATCAGTACTTTGATACCGATTGTCCGCAAGAACTGTCGCTAGTTTTTTAGCAACGGTTCCTGTTAAGAATCGCTATCTTCATACCAAACCTCTCTTTTCAATTTTTTTCTTTTTTATTTTTTACAATCATCTCACCCTCTGACCTTTACTTTACTAAGAAAAAAAAACCTATGCCTTCTTGCTCTGTGATTCTTTATATTTACAATCATCTAGCCACCTACTTCATCTTTATTGCTCCAATTCCGACGACTTTCTCTCTCTCTCCGGAGTCTATCTCATCTTCTCCTTCATCAAATTGGGATGTCTTTCTTCCTGGCTTCGTCTATCAAGTTAATTTTTGTACAATTTTAAAGAATGTAGAGATGAAATTTATGAATCTTTATACTATTTTTTTTAGGGATATTGGGTTCTTTCAACAATTCTTCGATCTATTTACTTCTTGTTTCTTGAATGAATCTCTATAAAATTCTCATAATTAAATAAAAAAAGTTTTAGAAACCCAAAGGGCAACCAAAATATGTTTGAGCCTTTGATTGAGTTGGAAAAAAAAAAAAAATCAAATTTTGGCCCAAAAGAATGGCCCAAAACAGAGTAGTAATTACTATTACTATACTATGTCAACCGAACTATTTGGCATGTCAAAATTCGGTATTCTAAAAGTTTGGTATAGTAATGGTAATAGATTTTATCATACCAAAATTTTAATATAGTAATTGGTACATGGGTTTTGATACAGTAATAACACCCCTATTTGTGACTATTCTACTATCGACATAATGAGACAATATCAAAAGTATCGAAAATGTATTTAATAATGGGAGTTTTAATAAAAAGCCCACGGTACTGTTCACTTTAATTAAAAATCACATTTTTACACTAAAAAGTCAATACTGTTACTATTCACTTTATCCTTTATTTTATTTTTATCGTTAAAACTTAAAGTTTTCAAGCCTTTTTTATTAATTTTTTTTTTAATAATTCTTCATTTAAAAAATATATATATTTTCAAATAATTTGGGCCTCGTATGATATTGGACCTTGACACCTAATCCACCTAGACTCAGTGGGCCATTTAAGTAAGATCCAAGAACCTTCTCGAACTCGCCCCACCGCCGAATCATCCAAAACGTCTATCTCCCCGTCTCCGTTACCCATCACACGAAAACCAAAAAATCCTCTCATGGCGTTCGCGTTCACCCGTTAACGGCTTTAGTTCCCGCATCGTATTCGCCGACTAGTCAACGGCGCAACGTTCACGGAATCCTTCCCCGCCAACACATAACAAACTTTCACACGGAGTTGGCAGTTGGTTGGCTTCGCCACCGATCATTTCTTAAGCGCTAAGAATTAATATTCGGTTTTCTTCCTCCTATAAAACCCTAGTCGTCGTCCTCCAAATCTCCAACAAAATTACAGCGAAACCCAATCATTACCTTCAATTTTCAATTCCAACCAACGAGACAGAAAAGTATTCGATTATGGCCCAAGAAGATTTGAGCGTGCAGGTGCAGCAACAGATGGTATGGACCATCAAAATTCTTCCTTTTTGTTTTGTTGTCATGTTATTTCTTTTTTGGTTTTTGGTAGAGATTTGTAGTGTTTGGATGCCCAGAAAATTTTGGAATTGAAAACATTATGGGGTTTTGAGATATGTTTTTGAGAAATACCCAAGTTCTGTAATGTCCCCCCTTTGTTGTTATAAGCAATTTCTTTGTTCAGTTTTGGTAGAGTTTGATAGTGTTTGGCTGCACAGAAAGTTTTGGAACTTATAATATCATGGGGTTGGGTTTTAAGAAATAACCATGTTTTGTAATTCCTTGTTCATTTTTGTTTGGGGTTTGGTAGTGTTTGGCTGCCCAGAAATTTGATAGTGTTCAAATTATTTAGGCTGAGTAGCAGTTGCCATAAACCTTCATGTTATTGCTTTGTTCATTTGTGATTGGGATTGGGAGTGTTTGGCTGCCTAGAAAGTTTGGAACAGAAAATATATGCCGATTTTAAGAAATAGTGATTTATCCAAGTTTTGTAATTTGCTCCCTTTGTTCTTGTCAATTTCTGAAATAGTCAAACAATGAATTACGTGTTAATATTTATTGATATGTGTTTGTAATTTTTTAGACTGTGGAGGAGGAACAGAGGCTCAAGTACTTCCAATTTGTTCAAGTGGCTGCAGCTTATGCCGAGGTTTGCTTCACAAACTTGTACGGTTATGCCAAGGAAAGGTCAGGGCCTTTGAAGCCTGGAGTTGAGTCCGTGGAGGGAACAGTGAAGACCGTTGTTGGACCTGTCTACAACAAGTACCATGATGTCCCTGCTCACCTCCTCACCTTTGTGGATCGCAAGGTACTTTGATCTTTTCACGTTTCAAGGTTTTTTCGCGCTATTGTGGCTCTTGAGTTATGTAGGAATTCTTGAACCCAAGAGTTAAGAATAACAATGTGTCATTACCTAGAATAGAATAACCACTTGGAATAACAGAACATATTACGTTTGTTGAAAAATGTTAATCGTATGGATGTGATCCTCATTGTGCATCTTGATCAATTGGATCGTGTCTTTGTAGATTTGAACATGTCTTATGGTATTCGGATTATTGTGTGGCATCTTCGTTTTGTTCGTTGATAGGATCAATGGTTGCATCTAATTTTAGTTTCATACTAGCTTAGGATTGGTGGTTGTATTACAAATGTGTGAAGCTTCGTCGTGCAAGTTGCTAATTACGTTGGAATTTCTTCAGGTTGATCAGTCTGTTACCAAGCTGGACAGCCGTGTGCCACCAGTGGTTAAGCAGGCCTCATCCAAAGCTCTATGCGCCGCTCAAAAGGCCCCAGAGGCAGCACGAGCGGTTGCCTCTGAGCTTAAGCGTGCTGGGGTTGTAGACACTGCCTCAAGCTGTGCTAAGTCTGTCTACTCAAAGTGCGAACCCACAGCCAAAGACCTGTATGCTAAGTACGAACCAAAAGCCGAGCAGTGTGCTGTTTCTGCATGGCGAAAGGTGAATCAAGTCCTCCCAAAGGTGGTTGATGTCGTTGTACCAACCGCAGCATATTGTTCCGAAAAGTACAACCAGACCGTGCAGAGCACTGCGGAGAAGGGCTACCGGGTCTCCTCCTACCTGCCTTTGGTTCCCACAGAGAAAATCGCCATGGTTTTCGCCGAGAAAGCGCCCGAAGCAGAGCCTTTGGTTGCAAGCCACGGTGAAGCTGATGTTGCCATTTATTGATGGATTTTCAGTGTTGATGTTGTTTTACCCTTTGGGTTTGTGATTTTATGTAAGAATTTGGGCCATGCTTTAGGCATGGTTTTTTACTCTCTGTCAAATGTTTAATATGTATTACATGTTTACTTATTATTTTCTGTATAAAATGTCACTAGTACTCAAAAATAGTTATTCTGCATTGATATAAGTGCAGGTTACTTAAAATGACGTTAACTTCCAACAAATTTTCTTCAAAATTTATAACTCGAGGCGATTGATCCAAACATAATTCTGATTAGTAGGCTATTGATCCTTGACCTAGAAACGTAATGTCTAGGTTTGGGTTGTAATCACCAACATAATGGTAAACTGTAACATTTTAAAAATTTTATACGTTCGGATGATTATTTGAAACACAACTTGAGTACATGGATTGCAAACTATAATCTTTCCTTTTCTTTTATTTGATCGAGAATTCGAACTTAAACCCCTTCTGACTATATAAAAAAAGAACAATTTCACTCGACTAACATGCTCGTTTGAAAGTACTCATAAAATGACTGAAACCATTTTTGGTAAAAATGTTTTTGAACCAACCTTTAGTAAAAACGCGAATGAATCTTGAAAAAGCACTTCAAGTCTTTCAGAATCCAAAAACACTTTCTCTAAAAACATTTTGAGTTATTTTATAAACACTTTTAAACAATCCCTAGTCCGTGCATCGGCCACGCTACCTCTAGATGAAAAATGCACGTCAAAAAGCATGTGAGGTGTTCATGGTGCCAAGTATTTTTCTTTTTGGGCCATTTTGTGGGCTCGAAAAGAACTCAACAGTCAACACCAAATTTGTCTGGGCCTGAAGGGGACCCACAAGTCCACAACAACATCCACAACTTCTTCTTCTCCACAGTTACCAGCCGAAGCTTGAAGCCCTTCCTCCTTCAACTTCAACGAACCAATCTCAAAACTTCCACTCCACCAATTTTCCTCATAGAAAACCCAGAAAAATACTCCAATGGCGAGCAGTTTGCAGCTGCCAATCTCCATATCGTCAGCTTCTACGTCGTCGTTTAGGCCCAGAAATGCTCGGAAGTTCACAGCTTTTTGTTCCGTTAACGCGAAAGCAACGGCCAAAATCCCGATTCCTCCGATAAACCCCAAGGACCCCTTTCTTTCGAGGCTCGCTGCGGTGGCTGCCAAGTCCCCGGAAACCTTGCTTAACCGGCCGCCTCAAAATTCCGACTCTCTCCCGTACTTGGATGTGTTTGATGAACCTATTCTTATGGCCACTCCTGCCCAAGTACCTCTCTCTCTCTCTCTCTCTCTCTCTCTCTCTCTAAGTTTTTACTTCAAGTATGAATTGTTTCTGTTTTTGAAGGATTGAAGTGAAATTTATAGATTAATTTGATGGGTACCATTGATATTATGGAAAGAATCTTAGTTTTGTATTGGTTAAGCAGGTTTTTGTTCAAAAATTTTAATTTTCAATTAGTTTTTTGCATAAGTTTTAATGATATGGTAGTGCTAGTAGAATTTTCAGGTTTTTTCACTGTAAATTTGACTTGTTATTCTCGGTTAATCGGTATTCTTTTTGTTTGGTTATTTGGTAATCTTGTGCTGTTCTCTGCTTGAACTAGGTGGAAAGATCGGTTTCTTACAACGAGCATAGGCCCAGGAAGCCACCTCCAGACCTGCCCTCATTGTTACTCCACGGAAGAATAGTTTATATTGGCATGCCTGTGAGTTTTTGAATCCAATATTTATATTGTTGTAGGTGCCATCTTATGGAAGTATCAAATTCTGCTGTCTTATCATACATATCGTGCTTTTGGGGTGAGAATTGGGAGGCCGGAGCGTGTCTTCGGGGCTGATACAAAAACAAAATGGGGAAATGTTTTTCTTGGTAAAGTAGTGTGGTTCTAAGTGTACACTTTGAGGGTGTTCTCTGGGTAATTCAAAAGGGGAAGATATGACTAGAATTATATGGGAATAATGGCGAAACTATTCATAATTGGTTTCAATCAATCTTATTGTCACTCTGTTCGTGCATTTTGTGAAATCTGTTGAAAATTGCTCTTATGTTTCAGTTAGTGCCAGCAGTAACAGAGCTTATTGTTGCGGAATTGATGTATCTGCAATGGATGGATCCTAAACAACCAATATATATTTATATTAATTCGACGGGAACCACCCGTGATGATGGTGAAACCGTAAGTCTGGTGTTTCTGTTCAAAGTAAGATGCACCAATTATCTATATCATGTATTCCAAATGCTTATTTTTCAGGTTGGCATGGAGTCAGAGGGATTTGCTATCTATGATGCTATGATGCAGTTGAAAAATGAGGTGATTCTCTTTAAGAATTGTTGTACTTTGCATAATTATTTGCTCTAACTTGGTGGTGGCCATGATGTTAGTGTTTTGGGTGTGGGTTTGGAGCTACATGGGGTGTTTTTTGTTAAGTTGGAGATAATGCCATATGCAAGTGGTGGCACCTTAGCAGTGATGCGATGTGATGCTTTAGTAATTGGTGCTTGTGGTGATTATTTGGGGGTGAAACAGTTGGGATGCAGTGACAGTGAAAATTTTGGGGATGGTTTATAAAATTCTATGTAGTAGTGTATATCGAGTTTTATATGCAGAGTTATTGACGTTTTTATGTTCCTCTTCCTACTCTCCAAACTACATGTGCAAAGGGATTTCGACATTGGAAAGTAGGGAAATGATTTGCTTTCGGTTATGATATGAATGCTGTACGTTTTACCTTATTACATACTTGTTCTTGCTTATTCAGATACATACGGTTGCCGTTGGGGCTGCTATAGGTCAAGCTTGTCTGTTGCTTTCAGCAGGAACTGAGGGCAAACGATTTATGATGCCACATGCCAAAGGTATGACACATTTTTCTTTAAAAGGTTGCAATCTCAGATCTTTAAAACTTTCATTAATTTCCTTCAATCCTGCTTCAGCAATGATCCAGCAACCTCGTGTCCCATCATCTGGACTGATGCCTGCTAGTGACGTTCTTATTCGTGCAAAAGAGGTGAATTCCTCTTTCATTTCTTTCCACCATTTAATTGTTCTAGTCCTAATCATGTATTTGTGCATCACCTCTTTATTTCCTTGGCCTCTGAACTTATTTGGAGGATTCAAAATAGAAAGGTTTCTTTCACATCGTTTTTATCTTTTTCATTATGCAAAATATAATGATAGAAACTTTGTGGGGGCTGTGAATTAAGCTTTCATTTCATTTATACTGTCACAATCTTTTGAATTTAATTTATTCTGTGCATTTTGTGAAAACATTAACATTGTGTGAAGTACTTTTCAGGTAATCACAAATAGGGACATTCTCGTAAAGCTTCTGGCCAAACACACAGGAAATGTAAGCTCTATTTATAAGATTTAATCAGCGTACGAGCAAAAAGTAGGGAACTTATGTTATCGTGTTATTTTGTATTAGTCAGAGGAGGCTGTTGCTAAGGTGATGAGAAGACCATTTTATATGGATTCTACAACTGCTAAACAATTCGGGGTGATTGACAAGGTAAGTCCTTCGACAGAGTCTTCATCTACCCTTTTTCTTCAATATTTGTGGAAAGTTGACTGTTCTAGGGCGGCAATACCTGGTGCAGATCCTTTGGCGTGGTCAAGAAAAGATAATGGCAGATGTAGCCTCCCCTGAGGAATGGGATAAGACAGCTGGCGTCAAAGTTGTAGATGAACTTGGTGGTCTGTAAGGGAAGCAATGTGTTCATTGTAGGTGAGTTAACCTTTTCTTCAGTATTTAACAACTGTCATTCATGGCTCAGTAATAATTAGGTGCACGGGCATGGCAGGTCGGTCAGTGTTTATTTTAAGTGGGAGATTAGTATATGTTGTAGAGTTTCTCCATTTGTTTAGGGGTAATGGTATGAAGTTATGAACGTCCATGTATTGATTAGAAACCTGAGTCATGATTAGAAGAATGTTGTATTTATGCATACATTTTTCTGGGTGTGATCCAAACAGAATTTCCACAGCAGAGATTATACGAAATGCACAGGCTACAAAGCCATTACCTAGTTGTATCTGGGTATGATTGTTGACGAGATATGCATGGCAGGCTGTTTTGCATTTGAATAAAACGACATGAACAACAGATTAAAGCATGGTTATAATAGAAAGTTGCAAGACACAGTGCAGATTGTTTCGGTTCCTGTTTGTTCATAATGTTTATGGTAGCAAGATGCTTTCGGCCAGATTTCTGATCGGAATGATTTTCTTGGTGTAGGAGTTATCACATGGATACTGTAGGAATTGTTACATGGTTGGCTGCTTGTCAGGGGCTCTTTGGTTATGGGTCGAAGCATTAATGTAAAGAGCGCTAAATTGTCTAGCGGGGAGTATAAAGATGGAAGGAACCAGACAACGACCTGTTTATGTGTAAGGAAGTGGATGGGAGAGAGATGCCAAATTGAATTGCCCCTAGAACAAATCTGAAGGGTGCAAAAAACATGTACTTTTTGAGAGTTGAAGAATGACAACACTTTCTTACGTTCTATATTATCTTGGTGATGAATCGTTGTCTTTTTTTCCCCTATCAAAAAGAAGAAAGCTGAGTTTCTATGTTTGATGTCTTGGTGATGGATAACCTAGTGAAAAATTCAACGGACAAAACGCTTGGCAATCCAATTTGTACCGTGTATAATGTTTCACTGCCAAACGAAGTTTCACATCGAAGAAACTTAAGTGGTGAAAATTTGAAGTAATACAAACCGAAGTCTTTTCGATGTGAAACTTCCAGTTAAATTTGTTTTGTTTCCGGTCTTCTACTTACTCATCCAGAATTTTCTGGAAGATATGGTGGTGGAAAACCTGTAGAGGCTGCCTCCAAAATCCCTAAAGCAATTCAAACGCGTTCAGAAGTCGTGGCACAATTTGATCAATTGGTTGTAAGCCATCTCTGGTGATGAATTAATAATTCGAAGTACCTTTCTTTCGTATTCTTGATAAACCAGCGTTTATATATAGATGTAGGAAGATCCATTAATAGCCTAGCTTCGTGGCCAAACACCTTTCCAATTCCTCGATGTCCAGCATCATGTCAAGCAAACTGTCCTCAACACCACCAACATTAGCGATGCATGGGAAATACGTTTAATCCTAGGCGACACATGCAGTAAGGCGAAGGAAGTCAGATTTTCGTTACGTAATCTTTGCAACGATACGGACTTGTGTTGATGAGGTTGTGGAACAGCTTCATGTTCAGCAATTTCCGATGAGTAATCATCCTTCTAATATTCAAATTTCAGGTCATTTTTGTGATGGGATCGTTTGCCTATATGATTTACTTAGGGAGGACTGTGTTGTTTTATGCAATCCAGCCATCAAGGAATTTAAGCTTCTTCCCAAGTCCGGTCTTCTTCTTCCTCAACCAGATCTAGATGACGATGATGGAGTAGATACCGTGATCAATGTCATCGGATGTGGCTATGATTCTAAAACTAACAGTACAAGGTTGTTAGAACTGTAGAATTTTGGCAGCTGGGATCAAGAAAACGATGTCCTCCTTTCGTTTGATATGGGTGACGAGGTATTTCATAATATACTATTGCCAGATATTTTCCATGGGAGAAAGCATTGGTACAAGAGCATTTTGGTGTGGAATGAATCCAATACTTTTATTTTTATATAAATTTGAAGCAGAAAGTGGAGTTTCTATGTTTGATATAAAGGTTCGTGGATAAAACGCTAACCATTGAATTTGCACCAGATACTTGGATTCCGTTGGTATTTTTGAAGAGTGACGAGCTTCTTATGGCTGCCACTGATGGACGTGTTGTCTGCTATAACATCGATACACGAAAGCTCAGGTATCTTCCTGTTCGTGGCGCGGAAAGTCCAGATCTAATGCTAGCTTCTGTTTATGTGAACAGTATTGTTTCAGTTAAGGGAGACAACAAGCTTGAGGGCATTGATGTATAATTCCTCCAGATATTGATGAATGCGATATGCAGCGGATTGATGTCCGATAAGGATGATATGCTGTATCTCGATGTTCTCCATGGGCTCTCTTTCTAGTTCTCATTTTGTATTACATTTAACCTTCCAAGTGTATAATCAGTGTGTGTAAACGCACACAGAGTTTCACAGTTCCAACATATTTACATGGAATAAAACATATGGAAGCCGATGGCTTGGCTAAATCGAGTCTCTCCTTTGATTTGGATGCGGTTGGTTTGAGCATATCCACCCCTTGCATCTACTCTATTTTTTTCACATATGATGTTTCTGAGATTTTTGGACATAGAGCTACGTTTCTGTACGTTCTCTCGGTTAAGCTGTGAATGAGAGAGTGGGTGATGGCATCAGCTCTCGAACAGTTACAGAGCAGTGGGAAGGTTCCTATGAGCACAGCCAAGTGAACATTCTAATTTACTTAGGAACCGAAAAATTGCTGGTTTGTCATGTATGCGATTGCCTTTTGTGCTTAAATTTGGAGAACAATTGTAACTTTTGTATAGCCAAGTGAACATTCTAATTTACTTAGGCAATTATAATTCGTTATACATTGCAGCGAAACATTTATGTTACACCTGTTGTTCGAATATCACCTCTTTTAGGGTCGAATGTGACTTATGACGATTCAATGAACTCGCCAAACATCGTCTGGCTGGTTCCATTGCCAAGCAATTCAACTAAGCTTGGGCAGCACCAGGTAACTTCGCCTAACCAGTTTAAAGAAATTAGCTTCAGTGGTTATCATACAGTTATGTAATGCCGCTTGTTGATTTTCAGGTGTTCTTGTAGCGCTCGATGCCCATCCAGATGGAATCATATATCGATATCGATATCGATATCTCATAACCGAATATGTAAATACGCAAGGGCTACATGCGAAGGTGCGAAGATTTAACTTATGAGATGCCAAGTTCCAGAAGATTACGAAAAACAATCTTTCATTCGTCGTCAGATGATCTTGGGGAAGTTGCGGTTGATGTCAACTACTTGGATGTGTCGAATGTGGAATCAACGTTCCAGATTTTCATTTGCCGATGCTCTTTTCAAGGTTCTTAATCTTACCACATGCTTTCCTCCGGTCGCCTTGTCTGTTCTACAGTGCCAAGTAACCATGTCTCACTTTGCTTTGTTCCGCACAACATTATACCATAAGTTTTCCTTGGTCGTCTTCTTTTCAACAGGACAGCGCTAGCGAGGCATGCAAGAAATTGTTTTGGTATAATTTCAGAGAGTAAGATCCGAGTTTACGCAAGAGATTGCTTTGGTTTCTTTCAGTGGCAGATTGCAAGGCATGCAACCCGAATTTGCCACTGTTGGAGTAGTACCATTTTCAAGCATTTCAATAGTACCCTGGTTTCAACGCTTTTGGTTTACATGCTTGAGTAGTAAGAAATCCCTTAAAAGTGCAGCATTTTACCGTTGTGCAAGTAACGAGAATTCAACTCTTGCCTCGCCCTTGGTGTCCGCTTAAAGCAAATGCTAAATTTTAAAAGTGCAAGTTCGAGATTTTGTTCGTATAAAATTTAGAAGTCATGCAACAATCACTCTTCGATGGCGAAGTGAAATATTTTATTTCCATGAAAAACACTTTTAATTTTTGGTTAAAAGTTTTAGAAGTGATTTTCAGCCTCTTTCACGAGAGAAAAATTTACATGAAATGAGTTCACCGCGGTTTATTCAAATAAAACAATGACATATGTAAGTTTCTCAACATATAAATTTTATTATTGAATTGAGATGCCACATAATAATGAATTCGTTTCATATAAGTTGTTCTCATTTCACAGTCACACCCAAATGCGTTGTAATTCAAATTAAATTACATTTCACCGTCGGAAAGTCAAGAAATCCAACAACACGGGTCGGGTCAGGTTCTATCCGGACTCCCAGCCTAAACCCCGGCATAAAAGAGGAGAAAAAGCCCATTGGGGTTTATTCGGATTCACCAGTCCACCATTTTTCTCGCCCATTTTTGCACTTTCCTAGCCACCAAACACATCAAAAATCTCCAGTCACCTGATCGAAATCTGTTTAGTGTTTCGTCGGCAAGATTTAATTTTCGAGGTAATTAGTTAACTTTCTCTTCTCTCTCAATTAGCAACCAAACACAAACTTGCACTTTAAATTAGCTGAGTGACATTTTTTTTTTTATTGCTGTGATCTTGAAATGCATAGACCCACGACTTTGATTTGGGAAATTTTCGTTTTTTCTTACTCGGGTGCTCTTTTTTAATTTTTCCGATTTGTTTAATTGTGATGCAGTATTTGGTGTTCTAGGGCTTGATTTTGGGATAATTGTCTATTTATTTGCTCCAATAATTTCTTTTTTTTGGTGAAATTTCCAAATTTAAGATATTTTCTGCATATTTTTTAGAAAGCATTGGATGATATTATGGATTGAAGACATGTTTTGTTTATGGCTTTGGCCGATGATAAGTGGGATTAGGCATTGATGCACTTGATCAAGTTTTAAACTTTTTCATTTCTTTCATATTTTGTGGTTAATTTTCTAGTGGATTTCTAATTTACCAGTGTTTTTTTGGTTGGCGTACGACGTTCAAATTCAAGGTTGTGCAAGCTCTAAAGTGAGCTAGTTTACAGTCATGGCCTCCGAAGAGCCAAGGGACCCGTTCAAAGGGGTGGATTGGAAAGCTGTTGGCAATGACATGCAGAAGGACCCCGGTGTTAAACCGGGGATTAAGAAGCGGCTTCCCAGGAAGATTAGGCAGATTCCGGATTGCTATTTTCTTCCTCGAAGATCCCTACCCTATAACATTGCATTTTTTGGAGCGTGCATTGCTGGTGGAATTGGTGCTGGCATGCTGTTGGAGGTCTGGATAAACAAGAAAGTTAGAGGTATGCCCTGTAATTCCGATGTTGGTTTTCTTTCCTTAAGGTAGGGGTTCGACCTCTAGGGACGAAAACAAGTGTAGGATTGAATGCCTCGTGTTCTGCATAGTGATCACAAGTTCTGGTCTGGTCAAGACAACTATAATTTCCACCTTTGCAAGTTTAGTAATGCTTTTGGTTAGCTGCAATGCTAACATTAGACACTGTATCTTTGAGACTTTTCCATGATGCGGAATTATGCACTTACGGGTTCTTGGTTTACATTGGACATCTGAACATTAGGAAATCACGAACGATGTTAAAGTAAGAAATATGTGATCAGACTGCTGACATTCACGGCATTGTTTGTTGTAATACATTACTAAGACATGTACAAGCATTTCTTGTTGTATATACCAACACGTTCGATCTCTTTTGATCTGTGCTATCAGTTTTGGCTAATCTTGGTTGTTCTGAACCGGCTTATACATTTCTGATTGTTTTCAGTTTCATCATTTGGTTTCTAATCATTTCATTTCGTTTATAGAGCTTATGCTAATATGTTCCTGCTTCGGTGTTGCAGAGGATGGAGGCGTTGTATGGGAGTTCGACAAAAAATAGCCTTAGATGGATGGAATTGTGAATGTGACGGCATTAAAAATGCCCCACCTTCTTTCTGTGCCTCTTCTCTCTTTCGGAGTTTGCTTAACGAGTCGTAGGCTGTAAAGACATCGGAATTCGGTTTCTACACTGATCGGCTGACGTTTGCTTGACATTTTTGTGTCATGCTAATGAGCATACGATGTTGTTCTCACATCTTCTTACGGTTTGTTTTACACAATGTTCTGCATACAATGATTCAGATTTATATAACGTTGAATGAACCGAGGGGCAATATACTTGGGCCTGAAATGGGCCGAGTCTTAGGTTTGTTTGATGCTGTACACCCCCAAGCACTAGGCGGAAAGCCGTGTGTGAGTTTGTGCCATGTTTTGGGCTATGATTCTGTAAGCATTCGCTCGTGTACTAGTTGATTTAGCAACACAATCTCAATTTGATTAAGCGATTCTGAGTTCAAAATCTTTCCACATTATTTGATTGATTAGAAATATGCATCAATACAATTCTCAATGATAACTGTCGTTTCAAAATTACTAAATTGGCGTGAGTGAGTTTATGTTAGGGTTAATAAGCCGTTATTCTAAATTACTTTAATTTATCTGAGATTAACTAGCCTAATACATTTCCTTAGAGCACCTATCGTTCATTTAAAAGCAATCTTAGAGTTTGAATTCAAAACACGTTAAATTAAAAATAAATATCTTATTCACCAAGACAATCCGTCTCTTGCTAATAATTTTTTTTTGTTAAAAAAAATATAAAAAAAAACCTATTTTATTTAGACTTGGAGAGAAATTTTTGGGCTAATGGATGGTTTAGGTGCGTACTGCGCAGCCGGCCACATCGTACAATCCAAACACAAAACAAGCTTTGCCGCATGCTGCTTTCCTAACTCTATTTAGTCTCTCTCTCTCTCTCTCTCTCTCTCGTTCGGTTCTCTCTCAATCTCTCTTCGATTTCCAATTCAATCTCTGCAATTCATTCTGCGTGCGTGTGTGGATTGTAATGTCTGCTGTGAGGGTTGAGCGTGGTGATCTATGGAAGAGCAAGGCACTATCCGTACAGCTCCGGCTCAGGCAGCGGTTCAGGGTGGAGGTGGATCGCCGCCTCCGTCACCACCCCATTTTTTCCAACGAAGGTTACTTCTCCTCCACGTTCCAGCGCTGGCTCCAGCGCTTTCGCGACTTCCGCCGTGACTCCCTCCCTTCTTCCACCGCCTTCTATCTCAAACGAGGTCCTTTCCTCCTCTCCTTCCTTGAATTAATCAATTTGTTTTTTTTTCGTTTTCGATTGATTGAAATTTTGATTGATATGTTTTTGTGAAGGAATTTCAGTTTCTTAATTCTATTTATTAAAACATTGTGTCTTACTGTTAAAAAAATGTTAATTAGCTAACATAAGTGGCAAGATTAGTTATGTTTCAAATTAGAGAAATTTAAAGTTGCAGATTGAGGACAATTTCGAGCTTGTATCAGTATTGGCTTGCATTTCGTTACGAAATTTTACTACTTTTCTATTTTTTTTTTTGTTAGTGAACTGAAAATCTTAGAGCTTGAAGAATTTGCAAATGCTTTTAGGGGTAGTTGATTAGTTTGTGCTTTTATAATCTACCCGTGTGAAAATTTGTGGCGGGTTTTCGGAGAGGACTGTAGTAAAAGGGGGATTTTTGTTTTTTTGGTGCCTGCAGTGGGTAAGGAATTCAATGCTGAAGAAGAATCAATCCTTCTACGCATGCTTCAAGCTGTGGCTGTTCCGGTCATTGGCAATGTTTGTCATGTGTTTATGAATGGATTGAATCAGGTTCAGGTAGGTGACATTGTGTGGAACTGATGATAACCCCAAGATGTTTCTTGATTTGTATTTTGAGGGCTGCAAGAATAATGTGGGCTTTTGGTGTCATAGGTGTATGGTGTAGAAAAATTACATGATGCTGTGCTACGCAGACCCAAAGGAAAGCCTCTTATAACGGTAGAGCCCTGTGATCCTATTTATTGTCTAAAACTTAATGCATATGAATCTATTGGCATCACTACCATTTGCTCCTCCACTATTTTTGATTTCCCGTTGGTTATGGCTACTTTTTTATCTGTTCTCATTGCAGGTGAGCAATCATGTTGCTTCTATGGATGATCCGCTTGTTCTCTCTGCGTTGCTTCCTCGACATGTTCTTCTGGATGCTCAGAACTTGAGGTGGACACTTTGCGCGTCTGATCGTTGCTTTGCAAACCCCGTAACTTCAGCATTTTTCCGATCTGTCAAAGTCCTGCCAGTTTCTCGTGGCGATGGGATTTATCAAAACGTAATCTTTTAAAATGGTTCTAAGTTTGTTGAAAGTGTTGGGAAGTTTATTAGTAGTGCTGTCATACTCGTATAATTGCAAATAAAACCAAACGTCTGCGGCTTGTGAGTAGTGCTTTGATGTTTATATTCTTCTTTTCGCCTGTTTTTAGAAATGGGTTTTTTTCTTGTCATTGTATGATAAGTTAAAGATAGGATGCTCTATCCTTACTTGTTTTGAACATTTCTTATGTACCTTGGGTCTATGGAAGGGCTGAAAGCTATGACAGTGTGTGATAACCATGCCACGTTCTCATCTTTATGCTTTATTGATTCAGGGAATGGACTTGGCTATTTCAAAGTTGAATCAAGGTGGTTGGGTTCACATCTTCCCAGAAGGTAGTCGTTCTCGAGATGGTGGAAAAACCATGGGGTCTTCCAAGAGAGGTGTTGGGAGGTGAGGGTCTCATCCCCCTTTTCTTGAAAGATATGTTTCCAAGAGAGGTGTTGAAATGATTTATATTTGGTTGTTGGATAGGAGGAGGGGGAGGGAGGGGGAGAGAGAGAGAAAAAAAGGGGGAAAGGGGGGATGCTCCCATGGTTTTGGCTGTAAGCTTTTTGGGTAAAGTGAGTAGTGTTCTTTCCATTGAAACACTTTTTTGAAACTATTGCATATTCTTACTTGGCAGGTTGGTCCTTGACGCGGACAATATTCCCATGGTTGTTCCATTTGTGCATAGTGGGATGCAGGATATCATGCCTATCGGTGCTAGCATCCCAAGGATTGGCAATACAGTAAGTCCAATACTTGTTACTGTCAATACATGTTCAGTTTTGAGCGGCTCAGTGTCCTTTCAATAGGCTGTAATCCTTCCAGTTAGATACTTTTGATACTGTAGCAACTATATGAGTGATCAGATAGACCTTCTTACCCAGTCTTATCTGACGTAGGATTTGATTGTTGTATTTATCATTTTAGTCCATGACGCGCTGATGCCCTTCACACTTTATGCAGTGTTTTGTTCTTTTATGATATGTATTGTCCAGCTTACTGTTTTTGGAAAATGTAGGTGACGGTGGTTATTGGCGATCCAATCTACTTTGATGATTTGTTGAATTCTGAAGGAGCTAAGCATGTATCAAGAGGAAAGTTGTACGATGCTGTATCTTCAAGGATTGGTCATAGACTACGCGAACTGAAAGTTCAGGTCGACAAGTTGGCTCAAGTGACTCAGCCACAATATCTTCCTGCGCAGGACACAGACCGAGCTACAGTGATTCTGCAGCAGGTTGATTGGGAATCATTCGGAATGGGGAACCTTACATATTCCGAAGATGATGGTTCACCGGTGCAAGAAACTGAGATCCAACTAGCTGCTCCTCCCTGTACAGAAGAACCCCGGTCTGCTGATTGGAGTTACAGAGTGGGTTTCTCTCGTGAAGGTGGCATTGCATCACGGATGCGTAGTTTCATGGACCAGAGTGAGTTTATGGGTTTCGCGGCCAGAGGCATATTTATGAACCGTAGAGCCGAAGAACCCTCTCCGAGCGGTAGAGGGGTTGTCCCCTTGAAAGCGTGGAGACGATACTTGGAGGCCAATGTATTACCACAATGGAATTAGTTCTAACATAAATCTAGCAGAGGCTTATGTAAATAAAAATTTTGGTGTTCATCATATATGAACTGAAATTTTGGTTGAGATTTTACCTTTTATTTTAATGTATAGACCGAAGATGCTATGATAATTTTACTTGACCTCCATTTTCTGTGATATTCATCTTTTTGACACACAAATTCTAATAATAAAAGGTTACGGGTTTAGGTCGTAAAAACCACCTCTCAGTCGACTTTAGACGCTTCAGTTCAAATTCTCGTCTTCAAATAATATATTTCAAATAAAATCTTGTTAAAATAAAAATTAGAGAAGCATATGGTTCCTTTCTTCGCGTTCAGCCTAAAACAACTCATGTTTCTTTCTCTCACTGAGTAGTATTTTAAACCACTAATTACTATATTTAGTTTTTCTTCTTCCGCAAAATTTCATTTCTTGCAACAAACCAGCTGACTTCCTCACTACAAGCAATCGCCTTCATTTCGCAATATCGAAAGAACCTGTGAATGCACTCTCGAATCTACACGAAACAACAAGGTAATTGCTTTTTTCGGGTTTTTAGATCTTCGTCTGTTGTTTTATTATCACGTTGTTATGATCCATTTTGTTTCATTTCACAGTAAGTAATTACAATGCTTGTTATGAATGCATAGAGAGGAGAGGAGCAGAAAATGGCAGGGTTTTGCGAAATGCCGGAAGCAATGGCGCTGCAGATCTTGTCATGGTTGCCTCCGAAATCTCTGATGCGATTCAGATGCGTCCGCAAGTCGTGGTACAAGTTCATCAACAACCCTAGCTTTGTGGACGTGCACCTCTCCAAATCCATCGACAACAGTTTCCAATCCTCCACATGCATCCTTTTCAAGCGTTACGTCCTCAACGATACAGACAATGGCTCGACGAAAATTTTGCTGTCACTTATAGATCTTTGCAACGACAACAACAGTGATGTCTATTACCTTCAAGATCTCAACCTCAAAGTTCCAATTTCTCTAGGGCTAAGGCATGAGTTTTTAGACATCGCAGGCCACTGTCACGGAATTATTTGCTTAACTGATTACTCCGAGAATGTTTTTCTATGCAATCCGGCTCTGAAGGAATCGAAGCTTCTTCCCAAGTCGTGCCTTCGTCTACCTCCCCCGAAAGAAATAAACATATTGCAGTCAACAGGAATCGCAGTGGGATTTGGCTACGATCGCAAAGCGAAAGATTACAAAGTCGTTAGAATCGCAATGCATTTCGAGGGTTTTTGGATTTTGTTTCACCCTCACATGGCAGAAGTATACACCATGAGTTCTAACTCTTGGAGAGAGATCAAAGTTGATATACCTAGCAGTGTGGTTTGGTCTCCTTCTTCCCAAATGTACTTCAAGGGTTTTTACTATTGGTTTGCCATAGAGCTGGACAAGCAAACCCTAGACGAAAACAAGAAGGTCATCCTTTCCTTCGACATGGATGACGAATTATTTTGTGATATACCCGTGCCGGAAAGTTTACAGGATACAAAAGAATGTTACGGAAGCCTTGCAGTGTGGAATGGATCTGTCGCTCTTTTTTCTTTTCACATAGAAAGCGGGATTCGTAAATCGATTGGTATATGGGAAATGAATGATTTGGAGGGTTCTTGGACGAAACACTTAACCATCGTACCGATTGCAGGATTTGGAATGCCATTGACGTTTTGGAACAGTGACGAACTTCTTGTGGTTGCCGCAGATGGACGTGTAGTTTCCCACAATTTCCATACCAAGATGCTTAAAGAGCTTCCTGTTAGTGGTGTGTTTTTAGAACGTTTCCAAGCGTTTGTGTATGTGCATAGTCTCGTTTCAGTTAAATGAGAGCTCATTCTTCTGTTTTATTCTTAAAATTAACAATTCAAATGCAACTCATCGTAATTAGACTTTTGGACCACGCGACATGTATCACTTGTATAGGTAATTGATATCTCAACCACATAACTCGACAGGGATAACGACAGTTTAAGTAGAAAGTAAATTATGACTGAGTGAAAATCTTAATGGATAGTCGAACAAGATACGAAACCAGACCTCATAATCCAAGGCTTATACATGAATTTGTATTTCAGATTAATAATGCATCATATGCAAAAAAACGAAATTAATCGATTGTCACATGTAAAAATTAAAAAAAATTTAACATTGCTTTATTGGTCATTTATCTTGATAAGGTCTAATGATCGGACGGACCAGATCATATGAATCATTGACCCCACCAAGTTTTAGTGGTTACAAAACCCATCCCCACCACTCAAAGTCGGTTCGGACTCACAGTCACCACCTCACACCTCCCAAAGCCCCACAAGCGAACCTTCACAGAGCACACCTCAAACGCTATCCTCTACGGTGCGTTCCGGTTCTATCAAATCTTGACTGTCAATTTATGTAGGGCCCGTTAAAACGAACGGCTAAGATCCATCCAGTTCTTCGTGCTTCGCGGAAATCACGTTTCCCCCTGTACACCAGTTCATTTCCCATTAAAATCTCAGAGGAGGGAGGGAGGGAGGGAGAGAGAGAGAGAGAGAGTGAAAACAGCAAAATGGCGGACGAAGAAGAAGCAGAGCTAAGCGAGAAGCAGAAGAAGGAGATAGCAAAGTGGTTCCTCCTCAACTCTCCTCCCGGAGAAATCCAATTCGTCGCCAAAGGTCTCACCTTTCACCCCAAAAACTTCACATTTTTCTCTAATTTCTATAGAATTTCGTAAAATTTCAAATTTTGATCGATCGCGCGAATCACATTCTGTATTTGATTTCATCTTCTGGGTTGGCAGATGTGAAGGCGGTCATCAACAACGACGTTTTGTACAAGGAGGCTGCGTCGGAGGCGTTCCCACTGTACAACAAATCCCACTTGATTTCTATCGAAATGCCGGGCCGAATCGGAGACGTAAGTTTTCTGTTTCTGACGAAATATCGGCATTTCGATGAATTTCTCGGGTTCCCAATTGTGAAATTTGCAAACTTTCATTGCTTCTTGTTGTACTTTTTGTTCTGGAATCTGACAATGTATGGGGGTTTTGCTTCTGTTTGTGTGAGCAGGTTATAGTTACATCATATGGTGAACTCGCTGAGACCGAGTTCATTGATCCCAGAACAGCCCAAGTTGCTGTAGTTGACCACATCAAACAGGCAAGTGCTTTATTTTTCTTCTACTATATGAATCCGATGATACCGAAAATGGTGGTGAAGAAGAGAGTTTCTTTTATTTTATTTTTAGAAGATTGGTAATTGCTGATACAAGCTATAGTAGGGGAGGGTCGAATTGAACTGGGGAACCTCGGGTGCGAGCGTGAACACTCTTGACCAACTGAACTACGAGACCCTTTCTAGGATAGTGGTAATTAAGTATTAGCAAAGTATGAACCTTGAAAAGGGACTAGGCTGATCTTCTTTACGGGGAACACGCTGATGATAGAAATCAAGCATCCGTGCATTTGTTCCATTACGATATTTTGAGACAATTGATGGGCAAGCACATGAGTGCATTCTTTTCATGTATCCTATTTTTCTCAGTCATTCACCATCTGGACTTGTCCATGCGTGCAGCGTGCCTGCTATTTTCCTTGATTGTTACCCTTTATTAGCATTTTCATTTAAATTGTTAATTTGTTACCAATTATTTCATTAAAATGTGCTAAAATTGGTTCAGGTTTGTACAGAGGTGAGACCTGCACTGGATGAGGAACTTCCATCTGCATATGTTGAGGACTTTCGGTATGCCTTATTTGCCGTGAAACTTTGCATATGTTTTTTCACTCCTACTGAAATGAGCATTTGCTTGCTCCAAGATAGTTGGCTTAATATTAGGGGTTTTAAGTGTCACACGGGAAAAGTTTCACATTAGCTTCTCTTGAGTAAACTATTCAGCCCTGTAGGATTTACTTTATCTGTTAATTTTAATGTATAAAACCAGTATTTACTTTACTACAGAATGTTGATATTTAAGAATGCCCTTTCCATAATGGCCGAGAGAGAACAATGAAATAAACGTCACTTCTCGTCTAGTTATCTTTTGAGGATGCTTGTTTAGGAACTATACAAGACAGAAAATCATTGGCAGCTTGCGGAAGCACCACACAAGTAGAATTACAGTTGTTTTATATATGTGCAATGCATACATTTGTGTGTTTGTGTCTGTGGGAGTTTGGCAAGCTAGTCAATATTCTTTCCTTTCAGGTGTGCTCTGGATGCAGAAATACTTAAATATGTTGGTGAAGCTTATCCAAAAGGAGTCTGCTCAGTGTACTGTGGCAATGGTAAAGATGTGGAGGGCCCAGGATTTGACTTTGAGCTTGTAGTGGTGATTTCAGCTGCTAGACATAGCCCACAAAATTTCTGGTATGTGAAGTTAGTTTTGTGCCCTACCCACGAGCTTGTTTATTGCTCCTGAGCATTGTATTTCAGTTGGAACAGATGTATATATAGTGTATATACTATCGAAAAACCTATCCTGTTATTATACCGGGTCCTTTCTGAGTTGCATAAAAGAAGAAAAAGTTGATTTTCTTTTTCTTGCGTCTTTTTATGTTGGCATCTTGTGATATAAGTTAATTTTTCATGTTGCATAGCAACGGTAGTTGGCGTTCAGTATGGAGCATTGAGTTCAAAGATGAAATACAAATGCTGGAATTAAAAGGCAAACTGCAGGTATTTCTTATGTACTCCGCATTCAGTATGGAGCATTGAGTTCATAATATAAGAACCTAATCAAGAAGTAACTGTTTCTTATCCATGTCCTCCTGTTCTTCACCTTCTTTCAGGTGGGTGCCCACTATTTCGAGGAGGGCAATGTGCAGTTAGATGCCAAGCATGAATGCAAAGATACAACAATTTTTCAGGTTGATGTTACGATAGGACTATCTCCATTTATTATCATTTTTATTTTGGTATTGCATAGGATGATCTATCATGCAAGATCATTGTACCTTCTCTTATTTAGACCCTTATGCCGCGTTTGATTGAGAGGATTGGCTGGGGTAGGACTTTTCACTATATTGAAGGCATTTTAAAGGAAGAAATGGATGACAAATTCCTTACTTTGTCCAAGTTGAAGGTTACTCATGAAGAAAAGATTCCCCTACTAATGCTCACAAAAATGGTAGGATTAAAAGGGACGACTAGTCTTCATGAGTAACCTTCAACTTGAACAAAATAAGGAATTTGTCATTCATTTCTTTCTTTAAAATACCTTTAATATAGTGAATAGTCTTATCTAACCCAATCTTTTCTATCAAACGAGGCCTTAATATATTGATTTTAGTATAACTTTCTACATAAACTTTTAAAATGAGGGTATTAATCATAACATGTGAACATAGGCACATATGACTTTTTTTTTCCTAGTAGGCATAGCTAAAGTTGGTAAATAGTAAAAAGTTTATGTATTGGTTAGCTAAGTTTTCGGTGTGATATTCTTAGTCATCTGACACTTTTTGTGTTTAGAAACAGAAAGGCTAAGTTGAATCTTACGAGTTCCCGTGTCATGCTAATAATACATTATCGATAAAACATTTCCTGTGGCTGTTTGAACTTTTTTGTTTTTGGTATCTTAACATTGCCTATGATTCACATTTGTTGCAGTCCTCTGAAGATAGTGCGATTGCCATTAGCAATATTATTCGTCAACATGAGACGGAGTACTTAACATCTCTTGAGGTTCAAAATACATCAATTTCTCTAGTTAATAGCTGATGTTTTTTTCACTTTCTGAGCTCTTCACTAACAAATTTACTTCTGCAGGCATCTTATTCAAATTTGCCCGATACCACTTTTAAGGTACTATTGACTTCCATCGAGAATTGAACTTTTGTGTATTTGTACATTCAACATATTCGAACATGTTCAATATAAACATGAAACACATTTGCCCAAGAAAATTGTTTCTTTACTATGCTTAACCCGAACCCAATCCAGTTTTTCACTTTGTTGAATTATTATTATTCTTGATTCCAATACCAACCTTCAAAACTTAATGAATGTGATACAGGATCTTCGAAGAAAGCTTCCAGTTACACGCACCCTATTTCCGTGGCAGAATACCTTGCAGTTTAGCTTGACAAGAGACATTACAAAAGAACTTGGGATCGGAAAGTGAATTCACTCATTCAACTGAAGGTGTTCAGCCAAGAGTTTCTTCCCATTTGACCCATAGCTTGAGTATGCCACTTGTACTTGGGGTCGACTTTCTGTGGTTCTTCCCGTTTGCTCGTTTCCATTCTGAGTCAGGTCTCCGCCATTGGAGCTTCTCTCCCTCAGTTTTGGTGCACTGTAGTATAATCGCTGTTTATGTTGTGTATAGTAAAAGGGTTGTGGCTGTTTCTCATTGTGTTATAAACTTCTCACTGAGGACGACATTGCGGAGTTTGTATTTGTGTGTGTTATGAAGAGTGGCTTAATTTGTGCCTTGGCTTCTTTATATCAAATCGAAGATGTTCATTTCAACAGTACATCAAAGATGTGTACAAGAATCTCGATAGGACTGTTAGAGCAACAGCCTAAAAATGAAATGGACAAAAGCTGCACAAATCACATCACGAAATCTAACATAATATCTATTCAAGTTCATGTAGTCACAACTCTCACATAGAATGCAATCCTTAGTAAATATTTAAGTAGATATTGAAAAGCACTTTTAAGTGCTACCTACAAGAAGGATCAGATCACATATCTAAGCACTTAAAAATGTTTTTGGAACCAAAAATCAATTTTACTAAAATCGCTTTCAGTCATTTTGAAAGTACGTCTAATCATTTTAAAAGCATTTCCAAATAAGCGCATAGTCTACTGCTCGAGAAGGACAAAAATTTCATATGGAAGCTTTCACACAAAATGATACTAGCATGGGTCGGTGGGACCATAATGCAAGAGTTTATAATTGTGAGAGATGCCTTACGAATTATATAATCTGATATCATTACTCAAGTTTTTCTCGTTAAATAATTATCGAGTCGTATCTAGACGCGTTGAGCAGTATCTCATAATTTATAAGAAGTTTTTTTCCTCTCTTTTAGAAGAACAACTTACATAAAATGAGTTTACCATCACGTGATGTCTCAATCTATTGGAACAATGACTTGTGTTTGAAAAAAACTTGTACATTTCATTATTTTATTGAAACAGAATGTCAATCCGTTATTTTCCTGGACGCAAACCAGCTCTCTATAAAATCATCACTTATTAGTTGTTAGTGAGCATTTGAAAACAATTTCTCGCCGCAATGCTTTTCTTGTTCATAAACTTCCCCTGTGAGTATTCTCTCTGATGAATGGTGGTGGATGACGATTGGGTTGCAGGGCAGTTTGCATTTGCTAGCCTTTCTCACTTTATGGCGTAGAAATTGGTATGCGAGTATTTGCTCTGATTTTAGGGTTAGGGTTAGGGTTTTGTGTTTGATTCTCTATATTCTCACTCAAATTTTGAAACTTTCGTCGTATTTGTTCTGATACTGTGGTAGCTGTTTTGTTGGTTTGATTGCAGCTTCCATTTTTCTCTGCTTAAATTAGTGCAGGGCCATCGTGTGGTTAGTAAAGTCAAGATCTTTCTGTCAATTTCTGTTTGGTTGCTGAGAAAATATAGGGGGAAAAGAGAAATCAGGTGCATTTCATTGTTTTGGAGCACTACAGATAAATACAATATACAATCAAATTAGGAAATGATAAAGGAATATACTTGATGACTGATTGGTTTAGCTGAGTTTAGTGTTAGACATCACATAGATTTCAGAACAAGATTCATCATATATACATATACACATTTATATGTAGCAATTAACTAGCATTCAGTTTTACTGCAAGGTTTTCGTCAAGAAGCGAAAACCACAGGGGATTATGGTTTAGTTGGCGGATTGGTAGTCTTATTTGTGCTGTAGAACAAGGTTTTTATGTCTTACAATTAGTGGTTGTACTTTAGGGTAGATAGATGATAATGTTGGATGGAGATAGTTTCTGGAGAATGCTGGAGTTACATTCGTAGGAGTACATTCAAGTGGTTTTTTGTCCCTGATGAGGTATTTGGTATTCCTCATAGTTTCGTTCTTTACCATACTATTCATCGATAAAATGTTTCCTTCGGTATCTTCTTTGAGTGCCGTTTATGTTTGATCCAGTTTTGACTTTCCCTACTTTTGTGTACATGTAGTGGTTTGAATTTATGTCTTTTTGTGTATGCGTGATTTCTTTCTCTGGGATGATGCAATTAGCCAAATCATATGTCGATGTGCTCCATGAGGCAATTTTTCCGAAGCACTTTACCAGTCTCGTCTATAGACTTGGCAAGGTTTTCGATGAATTTGCCTTTCGTAGAAGCGTGTCTATCTGATGATACAATAGAGATAGGGTTCCCTGCTGACCAGAATTTTCCTCTCTTTCTTTGTATTCTGTTTGTTTTGTGTTCAATGTTTTTTTAGTTTTCCTTTTGCCAGTTTAAGTGCTTAAAACAACTGTATCTATCGGTCGTGCAGTCTGAACTAGAGCTCGTCACCATCACCATAGCCATCGGATCTGCTCTTTGAAACGAGGCAGAAGTTGACGCGTTGAAGGTTCAAAAGCTTTGGGCGTTGTTTGACAGATGGTGCCACTGAAAGACATAGTGCCAGCAGCACAGAACAACATAAACACAAGGTTCATACTTTTGGACAAAGGCATCGTCAAGACTACAACTACTACTTCATCACAAGCCCAAAACAAGACGTGCTTGGCGCTGGTGGCGGACGAGACTGCGGCAGTTCACTTCCAGCTGTGGGGGAACGAGTGCGATGCCTTCGAGACCGGTGACATCGTGGAGTTGAGCAATGGCATATTCTCTTACTGCAGGAACAACCTTTTGCTCAGGGCTGGCAAGAGAGGCAAAATTGAGAAGGTTGGGGAATTTATGATGGCGTACGTTGAGACCCCAAATTTGAGTGAGATTCGTTGGGTTCCTGACCCAAACAATCCCAAGAAGTACATTCAGGAGGCTGTGATTTCCCCACATTCTCGTATATTTCCACCCAAATACTGATCCATGAAGATGAAGTTGGCGCGAGCGTAGTCACATTGATTCCCTTCGGGTTCACTTGTATTAACGAAAAAAGTATAGAGTTATCGTTTTGATGTGCTGATGTGAAACTGCTGAAAATATTAGAACTCGTTGTCCTTCTCTAACAGAAACAATATTAATCTGCACCATCTGAAATGGAGTTTCTTGAGTACAGATGAAATTACAAGCAAACAACTAAGCACCGTGATTTTTCGTTTTCTTTTTAACGTTTTTATTACCACCCTTCAAATTTTTCGTCTTACACTCACTTTTGATGCCAGGAGTTTCTAGCTGTGGGTTAAGAGCTAATTTTTCCTTGCACTCAAGGTCTCAAGTTCGATTATGATTTCCTCATCCCGTACATCTCTAGTTTAAAGAAAAAAACAACAAAATTGAACATCAAGTGGCATTAGAGTTATTGATCGTTGATGGAGCATGAGCTACTTAGAGCATCTTTAATGAAGTAGGCAAACAGGTAGTCAAACCCATCGTGATGAGTTACGTAAGCAAAAACTTGCTCCAATGGTGTAGTCAATTCAGTAGACAAAGTTTCCCTATACCTACAAAGTAGGCAATATTGTCTGCTTTCAACATTATAGGCAAATGGGGTCTCACGTTTCTATTTATAATAAAATATTCCATGTAGAGGAAGAAGACAAAATTAAAGGATAAAAGTAAATGTTCAAGATGAAAATTTGCCTACTTGGTTTTTGTATTTCATCAATGTGACACACTTTTTATACGAAACAATTGAGTAGACAACTTGTCACGTCAACTATTATAGTATAATTTTGCCTACTTTTTTCGCCGACACCATTAAAGATGCTCTAAATAAGTATTTAGATTGAAATATGTTCCCACCGTTTGGTGTCTTCCCCCACCACGGGGGGATCAACTCTTCAAAGCTATCTGAGTATTTTAGTTTGCTGACCTATCGCACAATTGCATTATTTGTCTTGTTTTTGAACCGGTCTAGGATTAGAATTATGAAGCAGTGGAATCGTACTAAAATTTATCAGGTTTCCTAAGGCCTAACAAGGACTAACCACACTATAAATTAATCAATTTCTTGAATTCAATCATCTTGGTTCTGGCCACTCAGTACTCGGTCTAGTGGTATTTTTCTTCACTTAGAAGTGAGAGATCTTATGTTCGAATCTTGTGGATGGGGAATTCGATATCAAATTAGGTTGCCCATTATGTGGCTTAGCCGAACTCCCCCTCCCTTAGTGTAAAAATATCGATATATTAAAAAAAAAAAAAAAAAAAAAAAAAAAAAAAAAAAAAAAAACCATCTTCGTTCCGACTTCGATTCCATTGCTTCATCAATCTCTTCTTGTTTTGGGCCGGGCCCAACAGCTTTTGAAGCCCAACATTACATAAACAAAAACCTTTCTTTTTTCTCAAGAACCTTTCTTTAAGAACAAGCAGAGAAGCATTCTTCGTTCCACCAGCACTCCTGCAGCTGAAAACTGTTGGTTTCTGAGAAGAAAAAGTAGGACTAAACGGAATCCGATGGCGAACGTCATGGTAGAAGACACGACCTTTGAAGATGATCAGCTCGCCGCGATGACCACCGAAGACATCGTCAGAGCCACTCGTCTTCTTGACAACGAGATCCGAATACTTAAGGTCCCTTCTTTTTCTCTTACGCAGTTTATGGTTGCGTACTACTAATCGGCGCACAATTGGGAAGAAAGACTTGATTTTGATTATAGGGTTTATTTGTGATTTGAGGTTCGGATTGATTTGCTTGGGAAATTTTGAATTTTTAGTTCTGTACTTTATTTGATGCCTTTGTTAGTGTGTGGGTTTTTCGGAATTTTGGGGATTTGGGATTTTAATATGTGAATGTTTGTGTTTTTTCTGATTTTTGTTTGTGGGATTGAAGGAAGAAATGTCAAGAACGAATTTGGAACTGGACTCGTACAAGGAGAAGATTAAGGAGAATCAGGAAAAGATTAAGCTCAATAAGCAGTTGCCTTACTTGGTGGGCAACATTGTTGAGGTATGTGTGTTTTCATGTATTCTTAATTGTTTTCGATCGAAAAGTCCATTGCATAAACAAAATTTTGGAGAAAAGTATTGATTTCGTTTTGTTAGAGTGAAGTTGAGGTCAGTAAAGTAACTCTCTTTAGTGAAAAATATAATTTGCTGAATATGAGAATCGAAATTAGCGTAAGATCTTGTATTATAGTTTGGGTTTTGCCTTGTTTGAGTTCAGAGTTTGCGGTGCAAGCAAGTTTGATAAGGGAGTCACCCTGCCTTAATATCTCAGAAACAGAAGTACTGATGATGACTGTTACTAAAGTGCGTTGAATTGGAGGACTTGGCTCCTTATGCTTGCCATTTAAACAACACACCTATTTATGGGGAACCCTTATTTTCTAATTTTAGTAATATGATGATTCTACGAAGATGTGATTTAGATTGTTAGTAGTTACTCTGTCACTATGTTTTATTAATGGCAATAGACGATATTGAGAACTTTAGTTGTTGATGGTGTGTGGACTTAGTTGTTCTGTTAGCCTTATGTTCTTATTGGCTTTTTCTATTTTGTCTCATTCAGATTCTTGAAATGAACCCAGAAGATGAGGCCGAGGAGGATGGTGCAAATATTGATCTTGACTCCCAAAGAAAGGGAAAATGTGTTGTGTTAAAAACATCTACTCGCCAGGTAAGCCAGCAACTAATGCTATGCACTCATTCTCTTATATCACCAGCAAAGCAAATGACTACAGTTATCTGCATCGTTGCTTTTCTTTTATATTCACGAATTTTAATTTTGTGATATATATCATATATGTGTCTACGGCTAAAAGAGGCTAGTGTGAGAATCATATTTGATACACTATTCAAAAGCCAAATTATGGGGTTTTGCTTTACTGCAGACTATCTTTCTGCCAGTTGTTGGGCTTGTTGATCCTGATAACTTGAAACCTGGGGATCTTGTTGGTGTGAACAAAGATAGTTACCTGATCTTGGATACTCTGCCGTCTGAGTATGATTCTCGGGTGAAGGCTATGGAGGTTGATGAAAAGCCAACTGAAGACTACAATGACATTGGAGGGCTGGAGAAGCAGGCAAGTTTCATACTTTGGACATGCTCTTTGAGGCATTCATGGTTGTTCTTAGATACCAAACATTTGGATTTAGTACCCTAATTTGTTTTTAATGCAACAGATTCAAGAACTAGTTGAGGCAATTGTTTTACCCATGACCCACAAGGAGCGTTTTCAGAAATTGGGGGTTCGTCCACCAAAGGGAGTGCTATTGTATGGACCTCCGGGAACTGGTAAAACTTTGATGGCTCGGGCTTGTGCTGCGCAGACAAATGCCACTTTTCTGAAATTAGCTGGTCCGCAACTGGTCCAGGTATAGCATAATTCGATTTGATTATTACTGATACCATTTTTTTTTTCTTTCAATTAAGAATGTATGTACAATTTGAGCATGAGTAGGTGTTTTTCTAATGATTTTGAGAATTGCTCTAACGCACTCTCTTAATTTTGACATACTAGTGCATAATAAATTTGTTTGTAAACTTTGGGGTTCGTTGATTTAAATTTGTTGTTCCACCTGTTTCTGATTAGGAGGAACTGATCCTTTTTGGGAGAGAAAATAGTCTCTGTATTAACAAGCTTTCTATGTATAAATATAATATGCTCAATGATTGTAACTTAAGATTTATAACTGCATCCTTAATAAAGTAATTGTACTTGGAATGGATGTAGATGTTCATTGGGGATGGAGCAAAACTTGTCCGTGATGCCTTTCAGCTCGCAAAAGAGAAATCCCCCTGCATCATTTTCATAGATGAAATTGATGCAATTGGCACAAAGCGGTTTGATAGGTATGCTGTACTTCTTGAATTCAATTTCATTGTGGATATCCAATTTGATCATTGCACTCTTTTTTGATTGAAATATATCCTCTCATTTATGGTTACAGTGAAGTGAGTGGAGATAGGGAGGTGCAGCGTACAATGCTTGAGTTGCTTAATCAGCTTGATGGCTTTAGTAGCGATGATCGAATTAAGGTTCGTTCCCTTGTCTGCAAGTCTTTTTGCTTTTCCTGCAACTGTGATGGATTTGGAAATACATAGTAGATGTTCCAGTTCCATTACTTGGTTGGAATCTTAAATGCAGGTGATAGCAGCTACCAATCGTGCTGACATAACCAACTTTATTGTCTTAAATGCAGGTGATAGCAGCTACCAATCGAGCTGACATCCTCGACCCTGCTCTTATGCGTTCTGGTAGGTTGGATCGAAAAATTGAGTTTCCACATCCCACTGAAGAAGCAAGAGCTCGAATTTTGCAGGTTTGTCTCTTACAATTGCATGGGTTTTGTGATTACTTTTGCACTACAACATTCTAATCTGTTAATATTTTTTTCTTAATTTTGTAGATTCACTCAAGAAAGATGAATGTTCATCCGGATGTCAATTTCGAAGAATTAGCTCGCTCAACCGATGACTTCAACGGGGCACAGCTAAAAGCTGTATGTGTAGAGGCAGGCATGCTTGCCCTTCGTCGTGATGCCACAGAGGTGCTTCTCTCTCTCTATAAACTGTTCATACTCAAAAAGGGTTTTCACTCCCGTTTTCTCCTTTGGCACTCCATTTATTTCTGTCCCTTTAATTTCACATTATTGCTAGCCCATTGTGAGGCTTAGCCCAATCCCCCACCCCCTTACCGTATATAATATCGTTTGTGAACAAATAAAAACAAACTAGGAGAAAAATAGAGTGCAGGGGAAGGAAATAGGAGTTTGAAAATCACTTCCGTAGACGATTTTAGCTCAGTCTACTAATTAACGTTGTGTCTATGCTTAGAAATGCTGTAGGAAGTGTACTAATCTTGAGTATTTGTTTTGATTCTACTCCAGGTGAACCACGAGGACTTTAACGAGGGCATTATCCAAGTTCAGGCAAAGAAAAAAGCCAGCCTCAATTATTATGCCTAGATTGAATCACGGCAAGTTTTCCGTCAGAAAATCAACCATCTGTAATTTGTTTGTCATTTTTCGTCGACAGACTTGTATAATTTGTATTTTGAGTCGTCGTATTTCTACATTTTTTTTTTCCTATCTGTATCAAGTAACGGATAGGCCACTGCACCAAGGCGTTCAGCAGTGATTACTTGAAATTTAGTGAAAAGATGTTAC